GGAGTAAATATGTTTTGTAGAGTTAACATGCAGAAGGAAAAGGAGTTGGCAAGCTCAGCCACGTCTGAACAAGTGAAGCAACACAAATAGTTTGAGTTGGATTAGACCTCCCCATGCCGATCTGTCTCCTCTCCTCATGCAGACTATGAAGAAATAACTTATATATCTAGATGTGTAAATGCATTCCTGTGTGTTTCTTCGTGTGTGTGTGTGTGTCACGAGCTTGTTTGAGTGTTGTTTATTTGTGTGTTCTCTGAAGCGATGAGCAAGGCAGAACTCCCACTAAGCGCTGTCAGAGCAGCGCTGGCTATCGTCTCCCCCTGGGGGTCGGCCTGTCAACTCGCCCACTGACGGGCTCTCCCTCTACACCTCGCCTTGGCTGGCCGGGGGCTGGTTAAGATGTGTGGTGTTGTGTGTTGTATGCAAGTCCTGCTCCCTGATGAGAGGCTCTGTAAATCTGATAATTACTGACCTGACAATGAATCCCTGACCCCCCCTATACCCAGACCTCCCCCTATAGATGCTGAATGGTCTCCACAGGCTACAGGCTTAATTACAGACTAACATGGCTGACGCACATGAAAGGACACATTGCATATCCCTTCCTTTACTTTCCATATATGACAACACACACACACACACACACACACAGTTTCCCCATTCCTCAGATGTCTCACACATGAAACATGGAGAGGAATGAAAACATCTGAAGCTTTAAAGAAGGTTTTGGGGGAGATGGCGTGTGTTTAGAGTGGTGGGAATAGTGAGAGTCCACTATGGCAGGTGCTTGCCCCCTATATGCCCTTGTCTCTTTCACACACACACACACACACACACACACCACCAATCCCGCTGTTCAGAGGGCCTTGGTGCAGGATAACGGTGTTGACTGAGAACAAGCAGCCGCAGCAACTTCTGTTTTTTCCAGCTGGAGGAAATCAGATTATCTGACTATCACTTTTCACTAATTTATTTTATCATTTCCCTGTGTGTGTGTGTGTGTGTGTGGTGTGGGTGTGTGTGTGTGGTGGGTGTGTGTGGTTTTTCAATAACTCCCGCATCCAGAGGACCATTCATGTACAGTGGGAAATCAAACGTTGTAGGCGTTAGACTTTAACACAATGTTCTGCTCTCCTGCTTTGACTTGCTGTGTGTCCACATGCAGATTAAATTAGGATGATTGCTTTACTGTGATTTTTCCTGTTGTTGTATTTACAAACGGCGGGAGGCAGGTGTTTGCGATCTGGCTTGAGAGGACTTTACTTCTTCTTTGGGGGTTGTGTGTTAACACAGCAGCTCATGAGTTAGTAGCAGCTCCTTTTCACAGATTAATACATTAAGATTAGTTATTAGCTGAGTCACAACTTGTTCTTCTTGATCTCACACGATTGTTTGAAATAGTCGATTCAAGTCTCAAGGTTTGAGCTAGGTGAAAGTAATCTATGTGGCTTATTTGTGTAGATGCAATAATTTAAATGATATACTTTTAATATTTAGATATAACATTTAACTCCAATACATTCATTTAAAAAGGTTTTGTTCCCAGTTACTGCGCTGCCGACGAGTACTTTTTACTTCGATACTTTAAAGGTCCAGTGTGTAACATTTAGGAGGCTCTAGTGGCAGAAATGGCAAATATATAAATGGAATATAATATTCATATGTATGTGTTCATTGGTGTATAATCACCTTAAAAAAAACTTCAAACTGGGGTCCGAGGACCAACAGGGGTCCCCAGCACAAAGAGGAATAGAATATTTAAATTTTTGTCATATTTTTTGGGAAGTTAGTAAGAAAAAGAAATTGAGTTGAGATTGAGATCCAAGTTTGATCATGAATAGACTTTATTATCTTTAAAAAATTTAAGAAAATGATTTAGAAGGGATTCAGCAAGACTAAATTGTGCGTTTTGTGTCCACCGTAGTTTGTCCTTCATACTTGCAATGTGAGGGTGAATTGAGGGAGAGGCAATCTGCACTGCTTGATGCCTCTGAATCCTACAAACTGGACCTTTACGTACACTTTGCTGCTAATACTTTTGTACTTAAGTAAAAAGATAAATGCAGCACTTTTGCACTACTTTTACTTCAGTAAAAGATCCCAATATGTCTTCCACTGTTATTATTTATAGTTATTTGGGTTCAGTTTTCAAAGCAGTTTCAGTTTCAAAGCTGAGGAAGAGTAAAGACTGAACCTCAATGATCGCGTTCAATCCCTGTCCATTGCCAGAAAACAGGTCCTATTGGATAAAGGAGAGGAAAACACCAGAACAGTGTAAATATTAAGAGGTGAAACTTAGAAAAATAGGTTACATACATAGAGTGCATTGAAAAGAGCTGCTACATACAATTAAATGCAGGGCTGTTTAGAGCATGGTGCATGGTGGTTATTCAAGAAAGCCAAACCAAGTGGCTGGTTACCATCACTAGTGAAAGAGAAAATATATTTTGCATTATATAGGTGGACCATCTCTTTATGCTGCATGCTCTCTGTTAGTCTGAAACAGCTAATGCTGATGTGGATTCACGTTAACACCGAACACTCTCCCGGTGTATTAATTGTTAATGTGCTTGGCAATTACAAACCTCATTCAGATTTGTGTTAATTGAAGCTTTGGTCCAGCAGGTTGGTTCCCCCCCTCCGCCGTTCACTGAAGCAGTGACACGTCTCTCTTTTTTTCTTTGTACGCTCCTTAAAAAAATACCTGAAAAGCCAGTGTCGGCCCTGTAGCCTGCAGTCAGCAGGAGAGCAGGAGCCGAGGCCACAAAACGTCCATCATGTCGACAAATTGACTCAATCAGCTTCATCCAGGAGCATTAGCCCCTCGCCCCTTTGAAATTCAACACTGTTGACGGTTCCCCAGAGTGTTTCTGGAGAGGGAAAGGAAAAAAGTGGAGGAGAGGAGGAGGCCTCGTCCTCTGTGGCAGTGACAGAGTGAGAGGGGAGCAGCGGGAGAACTGAAGTACTGTGAGTGAGTGTGTGAGAGAGTGTACTGCTGTCCATCACTTGGGATTGAATATGTATTAGAGTTTGGGTTACAGTGTGTGTGTATGTGTGTGTGTGTGTGTGTGTGTGTCAGACAGTCACACTTCACTGACACAAAAACATGCTACTTTAGCTACAGGAGGGCTGGAAGTGGAGGCTATACAGAAGTGGAGCTGAGGCTATTCATCAAACACTTCAGATCAAACACACAAGAGGGAGAGAGAGAGAGAGAGGGAGAGAGGGAGAGAGGGGGAGAGGGGGAGAGGGAGAAGAAGAGAGTAAGAGGAAGGGGAAGAGGAGAAGAGAAAAAAAAAACATACACCTGGATGTTTGTACAAAGTTTTCCTAACAGTGGAGAGATAGAGGAGACCTTTGACTTGCCAGTGAAACTTAAAGGTCCGTTGTGTAACATTTAGGAGAATCTATTGGCAGAAAATGTAATATAATATTCACAGGTATGTTTTCATTTGTGTAGAATCACCTGAAAATAACAATAATTGTGTTATTGTTACCTTAAAGTGAGCATGTTGAACCGCCATGTTTCTACAGTAGCCCAGAACAGACAAGTTAGCAGGAGTGGATATAGAGAAATACTGGCATGGAGACTTTAAAGGGTGGCAGAAATATTTACAAATACAATCAAAATAATCACATTTATCAATATTATCTTGGAAAAAGCCCCCAAATGAAGGTATCTAAATTCACAAATATTACATTATTGTGGCACATTAGTTAAGCAGAAATGGCATTAGAACTCAATCAAACTGTTACTTCCAACTTATTTCCACATCTTCAGTCTTTTTTGAGTGAATTTAAGTCACTTAGTCTAAAATATGGCCATAACAGATCATTAAACGTGTTGATTTCGGTTGTTAACATGTTATTTTAAAAATTAATCTAAATGAATGTGTTAAATTTGAAAGTATTTGACACCAAACTGTCAACCCATCTAGATCTGCCCCTGACTGCAGGATGCCCTAAAATCCTTCCCAAAGGCAAGAAAAAGGAGCGTATTGTGTCCACGGTAAAGACCAAATAGACTACTGGGTAGTTAATTCTCAATTGTCTGAATATACACATGACTTTAACACATTTACTTTATGCTTTGGTAACAATAAGTCAACAGTTGAGGCTATATGAACGACTCCAAGTATATACAACGTCCTGTCCACTACAGCTAAAGTATTTAATAAGAGTGGTTGTGGCTCAGAACGACGAGAGTTTTTCAGCCCTGACAACAGTTCTGAACGGTTCAGTTGTTTCATTTCATTCACTTTTTCTTGGATTCTGCTTAATAAACACACATATTTTAGGACATATGTTCACTCCGCCACTGCACCAGTACTCTGCATTATAGAAACTGTGTTAAACCCCAGTAGAAAAATGTGTTTCCTGACTGTGCTGTGTTGTTTTTCCTGTTTCAGGGGGAGATGTGTTCAAGTCAAAGCCAAAGAAATCCGCATCTTCCATTCGTGGATGTGGATCAGCTCAGGAGACATACTAAAATCTACCTTTATCTCCTCTTCTTCCAAACAACACCTACTCCTGCTTTCACCTCCATGATTATAAATATTCTAACCACGATGAAGAACAGCTACGGCATCCACAACCATTTATTAAACCCTTTAAAAATCCCTGCGAAACATATAATAACGACTGACTCTAACACGTCATAACATGGCTACTGCACAGAGGATAACCTGATTTAGGTAACATGACCCATCCTCTGGCGCCACCTGCAGGACAAACACACCAAAACAAAACATTATGGAGGCTGAAATGTAAAACTGGAAGCTGGGAAATGAAGTGCATCAGCTGAAGACGTGTCTGTATGTAGAAAGATGTCTGTATGAAACTGTCCACAAAGCGTTGTTAGCTCTTTGAAATTAGGCCTTTTTAATAGAAGACTTTTTTTTTTGTCACAGAATTATTACACAGCTGGAAATAATAAAAGTCCTGCAGTGTGCTGCAAATCCATATTACACAGTACTTCTAACCAGGTTTACAGTAGGCCTATGTGGTGTGTTCACACTGGGAGGGTGACTCTATACTAACAGGTAAAACAGGTAAACATTGTTATTATTATTACAATTAGTAAGGAAATCCAAAATCCCTTCTTTAAGTGTGAGACTTTTTAATTTGCCCTCAAAAATTCCCAATTACACACACAATTACATCTGTCAGTAATGATGCAAAAAGTGTCTCAACTAGCCGCTCACTACAGAGTAAAGGAAGGACTTCATTATGTAGGAATAGTGAACGAGTGAACGAGGAAGTGATTTCAGACACATCCAAACTCATCAGCTTATGTTAAAGATTAACATTTTCATGTGAAGAATATTTACAATAATCATTCTCAGAATAAGAAACTCCCTCTTCAGGGTTCCTCCTCACTCCATATGTTCAGTTTTTCAGAGTTTTTCTAACGTATCGATGGCGTCAGACCGCTCCATCATGATGCCGTCACTCCCCTGTTTCCTGCTGTTTAGTGTCGGCATCGTGCTCGCTGTCGTCTGAGTAGTTCTCATGGTCGTCTGAGTAGTGGTAACTGTCGTCTGAATAGTGGGGATCCTCTCCGCGATAATCCCGATCTGAGTGGCGACTGCTGGCGTCGTCTCCGTCGCGGTGGTTCGATGAAGCCTCGTCGCTCCCTTCTTCCCTTCGGTCTGGATCTACTTCAGAGTCTTCGTCGTCCAGGAAGACCTTTCTGTAGCTGACGGGTTCGCATCCCGTGTCTAGGTCCTCTTGGTCACTGGCACACAGGGAAGATGAGACAGGTCAGTGAGGCCTTAAATATGACTGTGCTCTTATTCATAGTCAGCACACAAACAAAGACTTCTCATAAAGATTTGAGTGACCCACCCCTACTTCATGTCTGATTTACCAAATCACATTATCGTGTTGGTTTGTGCTCTCGCTTCTGGAAATCAATTTAAATTTAGGATTTAAGCCATTTGACTTCATTACCGGCTTTACACTAAATTTTCAACCTGTTTTTTGGCATTTTATTGAGCTGTAATCTTCCCAGATGTTTCATCTCCATCATACTTTTCTTTCCTTACAGTGTGTCACTGGTGTACCTCTGTTTGCTGTCACTGGACTGAGAGTCTTTGCGTGCAGATCCCGATTTTGCCGCCTTGCTGCTGATAAACTCTTGGGTCAGATCACATCCATGCAGGGCGTCTGTGTAGCGCTTCTCCGCTGCGTGCTTGGCATTCCTCTGTTATCAAGACACGTTCAGAAAGTTAGTGTAAATGTAACAACGGCGTGGTAATCAAAGCTAAAATAACACACTCACATACTCCCTGCACTTATTGTAATGAAATGCTGAAAGTTAATGCAGTCATTAACTCTAAACCAACTTTAACTTGTGGTTGCACTACATTTGGATATAGAAACTGGTATCTGAGCCTCTCGTGTGGTTTCGCCCTGTGACGTTTGTGAGTGAAAATGGTGAGAAAGAAACCCTCTAACCTGAGTGACTGACACCCAAACCTGACGGTAAACAATGGAGATGAAGTTGGTGGAAATAACTGAATATGTTGTGTTACAGTATCTCATTTTTTACACTTACAAAAACAAGAGCAGAAAAAATCTACCCAACAACTAAAGTAGCCAAAGAAACTGTGTTTTAAGGTAATTTTTCTTTTTTTATTTACCTCATTATCTTAATGTCAATCTGATTTAAAAAACACATTTTTAAATATGTCTAATTGTTTATCACTTTGTTGCTTACATACCATTTTCAAAGGTGGGAAGTAACAAAGTACAAATACTTCTTTACTCTATTTAATTCGTTTTTTCAGGTGTCCTTTCCTTGACTTGATTACTTTTTACTTTTACCCCCAACATTTTACACAAACAGGCTTTTAAGGGGAATTATTATATTATCATCGCTGGCCCAACGTCAAAACTGGTGCATATCACGCATAACAGACGTAACAAGACCAAACAGACAATAGAGGGAGACTCGAGCCTATTTGAGGTTTCAGTAAGCTTTGCACAGAAACTGCCGGCAGAAACGTCCTTCAGATTCTAGAGATTATAATTTTTACTTTTATACTTTAAGTACATTTCAGAGCCTGTACTTTTTCACTTTTACTTGAGTAAAGAATGAACCGGGCGCCCTGCTTACAGCACCTTTTACTGGTTATATTGCATGTCTTCCCATCTCTGTTCAGTCTACGCCTTGTATTTGTTGTTTCTATGACTTTATTATTTATATTTTTATGTGTAAAGCACTTGCACTGTTAAGAAAGGAGCTATTTAAATGAAGTATGGTATTGGTATTATTTCACCTATAACATACAAATCGGTTTTATTAAATTACTAATCAATTAATCTGTCGTTCTCTCTGGTTAAATGTTCTAATGCATTAATGCTTTGGTACAGAGGCTGTTTGTAAAGATGCACAATCTGCTGTAATTAAACTGAGTTTGTGGGATGTGGTCGAGGCTCGGGGCTCAGGTTGATGTTCACCTGTGCAACCTGCTCCAGCAGCAGCGGCCTCCCCTTCACCCTCTGCTGCATCTCCTTGATCTCCTGCTTGTACTCCTTCCTGCGCTCAAGCTCCTGTTTCCTGCAGACAACAACGGAGAATTACGAATCGTCCCGGTCCGTTCAACAGCAGCTCGGCTCGTGGCGCCGTAGTCGCGTTGTTTTTAGGGTACCTGAATTCTTTGAGTTTGGTCTGGTGCGTCTGTGAGAGAGCCAGGTGGGGGTCGTTGGCCTGGGCTCGTTTCACCACCACCCTCTGCAGCTTCTTCTCCCTCTGCTTCTGCCTTTCCCTCCACTGCTCCTCCTCCTCCTCGGCCTTCTTCCTCTGCTCCAGCACCTTTCTACTCAGGGAGACAATCTGGTCACAGATGCAGGAAGGTTTGGATGGGATGGGGATTTCGGGAGGGTGGGGGCAGACAGCTGAGGATACCGGCTAAGGGGTGTTTTGGAGTGGGTGTGGGGTTGTAAGCACGCTGCTGGGATGTTGGGAAAAAGGAGTTCCACTAAAATTGAAGCATTCTGGGATTTCAAACACAGACGGTAACAGCTGAGGTCTCGATGTCTAAACGGGACATTGGAGTTCTGTCTGTATCTCAACTAAAATGGTAGACGCGTTTGGACTCCTGAAATGGTACCTCACGGCCTCATGGCGCTTTTTGGTGGCGTCTGTGACTTTGGCAGGCAGGAGCTCCAGGCTGCCAGAGAGGGACGAACAGAGACTTGAGTTTGCTGTCCGAGATAGCCCCGGGCTGACGTGCGGCCAGCGCAGCATCCGAGGGCTGCTCTGCTCCTTCTCGATGTCGGCCAGGATGCGTTCGCGGTGCGAAGAGATCTGTGACGTCCTCAGTTCGAAGGGCTCGCATGCAGTCGTGGGCTTCGCCTCTTTTTGTTTCTCCAGGTGCTTCTGGAAGCGTCTGTAACTGGCGTCGAAGTCGGGTACCTCTTTGTTAATTTGCGGCCTGTGGGAGAAGTGGTCCCCTCCGGCTGCAGCGTCTTTGGTCTTCTTGCGATCGCTGAGTCGGCGTGCGAGCATGCTGGGAGGCATCGACGCACTGTGGAGCAGCTCCTGAGCCCTCATCTGTATCTTGATAGACCGATACAGCTGCTCCTCCTTCACCTGCTCCCCCGATGCTGCTACGTACACCGCCTTGGGCACAGGCTTGGCCTTGAAGGGTTTGACTTTCTCCTGGTCGGACGGTTGCGAGGAACGCAGCTGTTTCTGCTCCTTCTTCAGTCGCTCTCTCTCCAGGAAGCTGAAGGGCTTCTGGACGGTTCGGAGATGCTGATCTTCTCGCTGTTTCATTCTTCGCTGTCGTTCCTCGTTGCGCTCCTGCAGCTCTTCAAAAAGCGGGAGGTGAACGTGAGCCGGTACGGGGCTGGCATGGAACTTCCTCTGGCACTCAGTCAGTTCTTCCAGCTGCCGACGCAGCTCTGCGTTCTCCAGTTCGATCTCTGAACGCGTCTTGATGCCGCGCTTTCGTCTCTCGGCCTCACGCAGCATCATCTGGAAAGGTTTTGGGACGGTCATTCTGTGTTTCCAGTGCTCCTGCTCCCCATCTTTATGCCCCTGCCTCTTCTTTCCTTTCCCCTTTCGTCTCCTCTGGTCTCCCGGCAGGCTGTGCAGCGACGAGGCCGACACCAGGCGATTTTGAGGCGACAGCTTAAAGTCCTGCCACATGTTCTTGATGTGTTCTTTCGGAGAAAAAAGCAGGCCTTTCTCCACGTCGTTACTGGTAGCTTCATCTTCGTCTGAGGAGTCGGACTGTCCCGAGGCTCTCCTGAGTTCAACCGCAGAGTGTGACTTCCTCAAACGGCGTAAAGCAGCTGGGCTGCTGTTGGACCATGTTAGCCTAAAAATATAAATACATAAAGTACTGTTAATATGACAAAGCACATAATAATAAAGAAATACTCACTATCACTCAACTGTAGAAAGTAAACTGTTCATTCTGAAAAACAATTGGGGGAAAAAAAGGTGCTATCTTTAATAAATTCTTCTTTTAATTTATAAAACGAGCTTATTATAAATGACCTCATGGGCAGCATACTCAATTAAATTGCACTCAGGTTTGCATCTACTGATCATTCTCAATTATGTGTTCAATTAATTGATTCATTATTTTGTCTGTAGATTTGTAAAAAATGTCCATCAGAAGTTCTAAGAGCCCAAAGTTACTGATTCAAATCCATTTAATTAATATTGATATAAAAGCATCAACTTCTCTCACTGAGGATAATAATAATAATTTCTGTCAATCAACTCATTGGTTAATCATTTGAGCTCACAGTTGGAAATGAATTTAGCACCTTTTGCCTTTCCTCCAAATGTTTAGTCATACCGTCCCTCTGCTCAGCATAACTGAGTGTGATGATGATTTAAAAGATCAGTTCAACCAAATTACACAAAAACAAATCACTTCCTGTTGAAAAATATCTTTTTGCCATGCATATAGTTTTTGTTTTTTACAGTGCGTTGGATAATTCACAGACCTCACTGTCAACAGTCTGCTTTAGAAACGGTCCCTAAGAAAACTACTGACAGCTCGTTAATGGATTATATAAAGTAACTGAGACTATGTTTTTAGTTTTAATGCTATTTTCCTGCTTTAAAGGACGGATTTAGTAGACTGGCAGTGAAGTTGCCAACTGAATACCCCTCGCCTTACAAGCATGAAAGAGGAAATACGGTGTTTGTGAAACTCTACTACTAATAAAAACACACTTATGAATATTATATTTCCATTTCTACCAATAGATCCTCCTAAATGTTCCTAAAAGCAGCACAAACTAAATGTTTACCTCCATTATGGTGGATTGGCTGCACGCAAAACAAAAACATCTCCATGGCTAAAAACCAACAACAAGTGAATCAGAAACAGGGCTGCAAAAATATAGCCTAAAAAATTGCCAAATGTTGTATTTTAAAAAAGTCAAATATGAGACAAACAATCATTATATTGAATACTGTAGTGCTGCAGAGGTGCCCTGCTCCACAAATCTTGTGTTTCTTTAGCACTACAGGCCTCAACAAGTCACATGATTATGATTTTAGTTCAGTTTTTTCAATAAAAATACAAATTTGTGATGCAAAAATAATCGTGAATCATATCACAATCGCTACGACGGAGTATAAAGGCAGACTAAGAGAAAAAAATTTGGGGGGGGGATTA